GCTCCTCGGGGGAAAGCGGTGGGGCGGGAGGGGAGCGCTGCACGCGCGGGCGAGCTGCGGTACTTAAGCCGTTAAATAAAGGGGGAGGGCAGCACCCGCAGCCGCGCTCCTTCCTTTTCTTCTACGCAGGGCCCGCTCTGGGAACCCCAGCGGGCTGCCTCCCCCCGGCACGGGGGGGCAAACCCCTCGTCTGGGCGTCCTGCTCGGGTCTGCGAGACTCGGGCCAGCCGGGCGGCGGGCTGCCGTCCGTTCAGGCACGCTCCGGAGCAGAGTGTTTTAGGCTCTGGGAAACTGTGCTGCCAAGAACTGCGGCGTCTCTGGTCTTCAGTTGCCCCTGGGAGCAGGAGCTTTGATGATCCCAGCGGCAGATGCCGGTGCCTGGATCCTTTTGTGGATCGAATTGCAGGTACCGCAGGACTCAGACCCACGGCCTTTCTCTGTTACTGAGACGCTGCAGTAGGAAGGAAGGAGTCTGCGACCTTTGGTGCGTAACACGACGGTGAAGGGGCTATTCCCATCTGCGTCACGACCTTCACACCTATCGCATGTCTAAAGGTTAATACAGCTCGCGTTTGTTTGTTACACTGAATATCAGGCTCAAGTTGATTGTTCCAGGCAGTTAGCGTATGATCATTTAATCTGGCGGGTTAGGCAACAGATAGAGGACAATGTGGTTTAAAGCTAGGACAATAGCAGTCTTGTCATTGCAAAGCTCCATTTAAAAAGTATCTACGGAGGCTCTTAATTACTTTCAGAAGACATGGGACATCAAGTCTGTTCTCAGGGCTTTATTCCACATGGTCTTGTTCCTGCTTAACTTAGTCCGGATTAAACTAAACAATGGCTTAACTCTGAATGAGAACATCTATGTATAAATAAACCAGGAATAAGAAATAGCTGTGTGTAGAGACAAGCCCTTAGGTCACCGGTGTCACCCAACAACACACCTCTCTCTGACCTCCTCCTGGCTGTCATCCTAACTTGTTCCTTGCTTTGATTTGGGACTTCAGCTGTGGCTGGGTCAGCCTGGAGCGACGCCATGTTCTCAAGGAGCTCTGCTTAAGTTGAAGCGATTTGGAGAACCAGGGCCTTGGACACTATGTCTTCTGGAGATGTGCGCGACTTTGTTCCAAATTGCACACCAGAT